TCCCAGAATTCCTGAGCCAGCATGGCTCAGCTTGGAAACCTCTCTCTTTCCCCTCAGCGTGGCTGGCTCAGGAATTCTGGGAGTTGAAGTCCACGAGTCATAAAAGAGCCGAGGTGGCCCACCCCTGGACTAAACAAAACCCTACCCTGGCTGCAAAATTAATTCAAAAACAAAAACACCCACATTCTTTAGCTAGTTTGCAAATAGTCCTGGATGGGGGGGTTGTTGTTTGCTGGGGGGAGAAAAATCGGGGTGATTTCCAATGCATTTTTATTTCTTTCAATCAAGGCACTTGTGAGCCAGTCTGGTAATAAAGACAGAAATTTAGTAAAACAGGTTTTACTGTTTAACTCGATTCAATTATACGGAGAGAAAAAAAAGTGTACATAAGAATGTTAATCGGGAGATTAACAGGATCGGAGTAGAACATTAAGGGGGTATCCACAGCTACTGTATACAGGCACTTGATGACCCCAATAAACCCCCACCCCACCCTTGAATTCTGCTTTTATATAGAGGAGGAGGAAGAAGAAGAAAAAAGGTCCTAGGTCTGAAAATGCTTTTAGTCTGTACGTAAAACCTTCCCTCTCCTTTCCCGCTTTGTATATGCATTCGCACCATACCAAATGGTGGGTAGGGTTTATTTTTTAAACAATATTATATGCAGTTGGGTGTTGAAAATGTTGGGAAGAGGGGGGGGGAAAGGAATGTTGGTTTTGTTTTTCAATCCAATATTAGTTTTGGATACGGCAGACCCATTCAGGTGCTATCATGATGACCAGTTATACTGCTTAGTTAATTAGATATAAAGAAAGGGTGCGTGTATGTATATACACACACAAATATATATATACACACATACGATCGACTCTAGTTCCACATTTTTTTAAAAGAATAACTCTTCTGAAATTGACTGTAAAGCATGTAAAGTGATTTTGACTCCTGTACAGCAGCGATCAAGAAGACGAGATACTCTGTAGAGTTGCAAGATTTTTTTTTTTTTAAAACCAGCTTTTAATTTATTCTTTTTTGTATTAAGAATTTGTATAGTTATCTTTACATTTTGCAAAAACGGTGTGGTCAACACTTCCTTATTAAAGCATTTTCAAGATGAAAAGTCTTGACGGTGTCTACGGCTTTTTTTGAACCCCCTGCGGTCTTCAGCCTGTCTTGTCGTCTTATTTGTTTGCCATAAATTGCCATTCCACACTGTGCAAAGGGATAAAGTTGCTCCAATCTCCCATGCCATGCAAAAATCAATGTTATTCATGAGTTTTGGAGTGCCCATCGATTCATTTTTTGAACTGAAAGAGCTGCTGTCCACCTCCACAGCCTTTTTGACAATTCCCTTCTATCGCTCCGATTTTCCCATCAGATTTTTTTTTTAGCATTTTTTTCAAGAATTGCACACTCCTAAGAGTCAATTAAAAGTGCTTATTTGGAGCTCAGGGTTGAAATGAGAGGTCCTTGGTGGTCTCTGAGCTTGGTTGCTTTCTTGCAGACGTTGCATGACCCAACTAGGTAACATCATCAGTACTAGTTTGTGGGTAATGAAACATCTGCAAGAAAACGACCAAACTTAAAGAGAGCACCAAGGACTCTCATAACTGCTTACATTGCCCCCCCCCCCAGAGCTGCTCATGTCATTACTAAACAGTCATCCTGGTTGTGGGACAGTGAGAGATCAACTAATGGTGGTCTACACAAATTCCACACTTGCCCTTATATATCTCTTTTGCAGAGTAAAATTATAGCCTTATAAATCACAGGTATTTCCGAATTATTTAGAGACCATTCAATCAAGCTGAAACCACTGAAAATAAAGATCTGGGTTTGTAACATGAGAGCAACTTCCAATTATATTAAACCTTCTTAAGAGCATCTCAAGGCTTCTATTTTTACGGCACCATTAGCGGTTTGAGTTCTCCTTCAGTACGGTTTAGAAAGTTTTGGACTTTCGACAAAAGTAATTGCTTATCTTCCTAAGAGACTTTGAAGAAGTCAAACATGCTTAAACAGGAAAAAGAGCCAGCCAAAACATGGGTCCTCGTAGCCAAGCAGATCAGTTCTGCTTTTGGATGGAAGCTTAAGTGAGCATTTTTCAAAAAGAAATAAATTGCTGTGTTTTTCTTTGAAGATAATGAGGCCGGGCATGAAGAAGATTTTGGGGTAACAAAGAAGCCTGTTGGATGAGAATTAAAACGTTTTCAAACCCCAAGGAAGTCCAGTTGCCTTTTGGAAAAAAGTATTTTTGGGACTGGGGGGATAATCTCTCCAGAGCTTAAGTCCCCTAACAAACATCCTCAAACTTTCCCCTGCCCCCTCCCCATTTTGGGAGAGGGGGGAGTTTGGGGAATTGGGGATGCAGGAAGCAATTGTTCCCGGGCATATAAATACCAACAAATTTGTTCAAGCTGAGCTCAATCCCCTACCAACTCCATGGGCACTTCCTAGCAATTTTCCTGCTAATACCAGGCAATAGCACTAACACTTAAGACATATACTGCTTCACAATGCTTTTACGGCCCTCTCTAAGCGGCTTACAGAGTCGGCATCTTGCCCCTAACAATCTGGGTCCTCATTTTACCGACCTCGGAAGGATGGAAGGCCGAGTCAACCTTAACCTGGTTAGGATCGAACTGCTGGCAGTGGGCAGAGTCAGCCAGCAATACTGCATTCTTTCTGACCCCTATGCCACAAGGAGAATAGAATAGAATAGCATAGCATAGAATAGAATAGAATAGAATAGAATAGAATAGAATAGAATAGAATAGAATAGAATAGAAACTGGAATGAATAGAATAGAATAGAAATAGAATAAGAATAGCACTTAGACTTATATACCGCTTCACAATGCTTTTACAACCCTCTCTAAGCAGTTTACAGAGTCAGCACGTTGCCCCCAACAATCTGGGTCCTCATTTTATCGACCTCAGAAGGATGGAAGGCTGAGTCAACCTTGACCAGGTTAGGATCGAACTGCTGGCAGTGAGCAGGAGAATAGAGTAGAATAGAATAGAATAGAATAGAATAGAAATTGGAATGAATAGAATAGAAATAGAATTAGAATAGCACTTAGACTTATATACCGCTTCACAATGCTTTTACAACCCTCTCTAAGCGGTTTACAGAGTCAGCCTCTTGCCCCCAACAATCAGAGTCCTCATTTTACCAACCTGGGAAGGATGGAAGACTTGAGTCAACCTTGTCTCACCAGCTTGTCTCGCTACTCCTAATGCAAGGGTATCCAACCTTGGCAACTTTAAACCCTTGCTGGCTGGAGAATCCTGGGAGTTGAAGTCCATAGGTATTGAGGTTTCCAAGGCTGGATGCTCCTGACCTTGAGCCAACAAGGATCGAACTGCTGGCGGTGGGCAGAGTTTGCCTGCAAGACTGCATTCTAACCACTGCGCCACCCCAGTTCTAGTGTTGGCATCGTCTCCTTCCGAGATGGTTTCAGAGCTGGCAGCATTGCGTCTAAGAACTAACCAGCATCAATGCAAACCCATGGTCAATGCATGCTGCCACTCACTGGTAGCAATATGATATAAACTTCCTCTTCCAGGCCATTTCAGGCAGCTTTAGAATTCCTTTTGCAAAATTATTTCCTCTATAAGTGGACGATGAACTTACAGGATGCAAATATACAGCAGAATCCAAAATGCCCTGTTCGTTTCCACTCCAGGCAAAGCTAAACCGGATCTTATTCCAATACTTCAACCGCTCCAGCTTCATTGTGGCACTTTTTATTTTAAATATATTTTGTTTTATCGCAAAAAATAAAATACGAAACAAGAAAAAAAAATCCATATATCCAGCACTAACAATAAAAAAGAAAAAACATTGGTGTACAAAAAAAGGAGAAAAAGTGATCCAAGTATCAAATAAACATTAAATATACAGAAACCACTCCAGATGGATGCTGGGGGGGGGGGGGAGAGAAAAGGATAAATTCTTCTTCCTTTTACTTAGCGGGTCTACAAATAGTTATAAGCTTTCCCATCCCTGTTTAACAAAAATACTATATTAAACAAATATTCCAGGTGAGGGGATTCCTCGCTAATAATCAAATTTAACTGTGGCACTTTAAGTTAGTAAAATGATACCCTTTGTTTCAGTTAGTTTCCAAAATATTTGCACCTTTTTTTCAGACTTCAGTGGCACAGAAATAAATTCTCCAGAAGTAATAGGTAGGAAAGTACGTTCTAAATTAAGAAACGCAGACCAAATACTAATTTGTCAGTTCTTGAGGAACAGGATATTAAAAGCTACCATTAATGAACCGGCTGACCTAATAATCTAATTATTATTGCCTGTAACCATAGTAATCTATTTTAAAAATCCCAGAAGATTGACAAAAAAAGGATCAAGAGCGCTATAATGAACGATCACGACAATATTTGAGGTTCCTATTAAGTCAGCGTCCAGGTTTAATGAACCACTATACAAAATCAGCAGGAAAACAATATAGGAGAAAAATGGAGGTTGCGTGTTTTAGATCTGAACCCAGAACCAGAGCACGTCCCAACAGGAAAGGATAAAAAAACCAGCCTTCAACCAATCTGATTTGTTTTAAACAGACATGAATTTGGAAGTTAATGTGAAGCAACTCCACATTTACAAATCTTCACTCATTTGGGCGTACATACCCATAGTTTTGGGTTTAAGAACAAAAATCATCTTTCCAAGTCTATTTGTTCACCTGCATCAGATAATCCTCTGCCATTAATGTGTGTTTCTGCACATCAGTTCTCTTAACATGCCCCCCTACAAGATTTTCTTAAAGAGACAGTTTCCTATAAAAACTATACAAAAAAAAAAAGATATATACAATTTTACAGAAGCTTAAACCATTCTGACTTGCTTGAGTAGAACGTAAGTCAGTGTTGTTCAATTTGGGCAACTTGAAGATCTGTGGACTTCAACTCCCAGAATTCCCCAGCCAGCCCATGGGCTGGCTGGGGAATTCTGGGAGTTGAAGTCCACAGATCTTCAAGTTGCCCAAATTTGAACAACGCTGACCTCAGCAGTTTCTTCCAGGCTTCAGAGGCAAAGTTCTCACAAAGACTGTCCCACGTCCATCTTGCCTGGCTCCCCAAGAGCAGAAACAGGTTGTGGCGTTGTCACAATGCGTTGTACTCCACACATTTGGATGGGTCAGTGGAGAAGTGCTTCTGGCAAATGGTCATGAGCCTTTTCAAACCCTGCGGAGATGGGTGCAAAACAAGGAAGTGGGTCACAATCCCAGGGCCCGAGAGACACGGCAGGAGGGTGGAGATGTTGCCTTCACACGACCTCTGTGTGGAAACGCTGAGATGAACCGAGTTTCTGAAGGACACGTCCCCAGGTTCTGTTCCTCTTACCTGGATGTATTTCCTCTGAGTCTCGTCGTTCAAAACATGGGCTACGTGCTTGGAGAAGATCTTCTCTCGACCGGTACGGGCATGAATGCCAACCATAGTGACGCCAATTGGCCAGGGAGCATTTCCAATAGCCATCTGGAGATAGGCGTCGTTGGCCTGCAGAAATAGCCCGGTCAGTATCAAGAAAGAGACTGAAGGTTTTTAAGAAGAGATTGATATAGGGGTTTCCTGCTTGACCAGGGGGCTGGACTAGAAGACCTCCAAGGTCCCTTCCAACTCTGTTATTCTGTTGTTCTGCTATTCTTTTTTCCTTCCTTCCTTCCTTCCTTCCTTCCTTCCTTCCTTCCTTCCTTCCTTCCTTCCTTCCTTCCTCCCTCCCTCCCTCCCTCCCTCCCTCACTGGAGGTTTTTAAGAAGAGACTGGACAACCATTTGTCAAGCAGGGGTTCCTGCTTGAGCAGAGGGCTGGACTAGAAGACCTCCAAGGTCCCTTCCAACTCTGCTATTCTGTCAAGCAACAGCGTTTTCGAAGTTCTACTCTTCAGAAACAGATGGACAATCCTAAACTCTGAAGATCTTTTTGTCTCCCCCCCCCCGTTCTAAACTTACATTTTCTAAGTAAGCAAACAATATAAGTAACGTTTATATTGCTTAATGTATATTGTTTAAACAAATCGTATTTATTTTGTTCAATGTAATTAATCGGTGGAACGAGCTGCCTTCTGAAGTTGTGGGTGCTCCGACACTGGAGGCTCTTAAGAAGAGACTGGACAGCCGTTGGTTGGAAACGGCATAGGATCTCCTGCTTCAGCAGGGGGTTGGACTAGATGGCCTCCGAGGTCCCTTCCAACTTCTGTTATTCTGTCAAGCACCATCAATTCCGAAGTTCCATTCTTCAGAAACCTTTGGACAATTCCAGACTCTGAAGATCTTCCTGCCCCTGTTCTAAACTTATATTTTCTAAGTAAGCAAAGAATATAAATAATACTTATATTGTTTAATTTATACCATTTAATATAATTAAACGGCTTGCCTCCTGAACTTGTGGTTGGTTTGACCCTGTGGGGGCTTTTAAGAAGAAGTTCTACAATCATTTGTCTGACATAGTCTAGGGCTTCCTGCTTGAGCAGGGGGTTGGACTAGAAGACCTCCAAGGTCCCTTTCAACTCTGTTATTCTGTTAATATAAATATCGTTGTTCTGACAAGTAATAATAATAATAAAGTTGGAAGGGACCTTGGAGGTCTTCTAGTCCAACCCCCTGCTCAGGCAGGAAACCCTATACCATTTCGGACAAATGGCTGTCCAGTCTCTTCTTAAAAACTTCCAGTGTTGGAGCATTCACAGCTTCTGGTGGCAGGTTGTTCCACTGATTAATTGTTCTAACTGTCAGGAAGTTTCTCCTTAGTTCTAGGTTACTTCTCTCCTTGATTAGTTTCCATCCGTTGCTTCTTATCTTGCCTTGGAGATTTAAACTTTCAACATCTTAATCCAAAGAATCTCCGGATTTCAAACGCCATGAGACTTTTTAACAACTGGGCCAGTACCTTCACATATTCCCTTTGCAACATGAATTTGATAATATCCGTGATGGATTCCTTGATGTCTGCAGGAAGAGTCTAGAAAGAGATGAAGATCAAATATGGGTGAGGCGAAGGAACATAGGGCATTAAGGCAGGTATTTCAAATTTCTAATTACCAGGGCAATGCTTTCCTCCAAAGAAGGAAAAAGAAACCGAATTAAAGATACGGTTGATGGCAATCACAGCTAGGAATGTTTATTTTAAGCAGGTAAGAATAAGGATTAACGCTTATATTTGAGGGAATGTAGTTAGAAAAGAAGACCAAAGGAATGGGGGGGGGGAACCTTTGCAGGCCTGTTACCCTTTTGCGGAGTTTTCTGAAGAGAGGTCTGAGGTAAGACTCCGTCTGCTTCTGGGTGGCGCTGTTCAGCTTTCCGTGGACGCCCCGTTTCAAATAATCCTCTCTCGCATTCAGGTCTTTGGCCCAAACTCCAAGAAGAAACTGGAGACGGTGTAAAACCTGGTTAAGCCACTTTTCGACATGGTACACTTAATCTGCAAGCCAACAGTGCCTCTAGAGCAGCGGTTCTCAACCTATGGGTCGCGACCCCATTTGGGGTTGATCGACCATTTCACGGGGGTCACCAAGCAAGGCTGTCCGCCATTTTTTCCCCTTTTCCGGCGGGTGCCTTACCTCCCTTGAGCTGGGCCAGCTGGTGGTCGGCCTGCTCCGTCTCTGCCGCTTGCCAGCTACGCCTCGGCCGGCACAGGGGGCGGAACCACGCATGCGCGGTGCTCCCAGGCAGGGAAAGTCCTCGACTTACAACCGGTTGGGTAGTCCTCGACTTACGACCGGTTTAGTCCTCGACTTACGACCGGTTTAGTCCTCGACTTACGACCGGTTGGGGGTCGCAGCATTAAAAAGGTTGAGAACCACTGCTCTAGAGGTGTGGATTTCAACTCCCATCATCCTCAGCAATGCGCAGGCTAACTGGATAGTCCTGGAAGTTGAAGTCTAGCATTCTAACAAGCAGAATGGGCTGGGGAAGGGTTAGCTAGGACAGTACACTAGAACCCATATCCCTACAATAAGAGGAATGAGATATGTTAAGTGGTGTAATACTTTTTACAACTTATGAAACGTAAAAATATTGGGATGGTGTTATGTGAAAGAAAAGTTTGGATATTTAAAGGTAATTAATTTTGAGGAAACTATGACTGGTTTGAATACAGTGGGGAAATTAAGCCTAAATAAGAATCTTGAAAACAGGACGCATAATGACTTGATATAAAATGCAGCTGATCAGCAAGTTTACCGTTTGGAGGGATGTCTCGTTCGGCTTTTTACCTTCAAGAATTTAGTGATGATATCCATATCTTTATGGTCGTCCCCTTGACCTAAGGATTCTCCCAAGGCCTGAGACAGAAAGAGAAAGAAAACAAACTCAGATTTATTTCCAACAGTAGACCACGATACACATGTACAAAACTCAAGAACATTTTTATTTTAGGGATGAGAGTCAAATGCAAGCAAGGATGTTCTGGGTCTGGAGAAGACACTCTTCAGTTCTGGCATTCCTTAAAAAAGTCGGAACCTTTTTTCCCCAAATTTTATACAGGACAAGTATGAGAACACCCAAGATGGTTAGAGGATTGGAGGCTAAACCGTGATGAACGGCTGCAGAAACTGGGTATCTCTAGTCCAGACATGTCAAATACAAGGCCCGGGGGCCGGATGTGGCCCGCGAAGTGGTTTCATGTGGCCCGCGAAGCCATCCTGGAAACAGTGAGGGAACGGCCCCCGCTGCCTTGGCTCTGACCCAGGCCAGCCGGGAGCCAATGTACAATTTTGTGGTGGCCATCTATGCTGAAACGCATTCAGTCTTAGCTCCACAAGGCCGTCCGGAAACAGCGAGGAACCGGCCCCTGCCGCGTCGGCCCCGCCCCCTGGGTGCATGCTGGGGAGGTGTCCCCCTTTGTGAGGAATGAAGAAATGGACCATGCCTTGGCGCTTGCCCCGGTCCCCCCCCTTCTGCCAGAGACCCTCAGATCTGTCCCACTCCTGCCCAGGCCCCCACAGGCACCCTTGACGCGAGTGATGTAGAGCTGGCCATGCCCACCCAGTAGGCCACACCCACTCCATCCACGCCCACCCAGTAGGCCGCCGCCCCCGAGGGCAACCGCAATGCTGATGCGGCCCTCAATGAAATTGAGTTTGACACCCCTGCTCTAGGTCTAACGAAGAGAAAGGGTGACACGATAGCTGTCTTCCAGTATTCTCGGCTATCGCAGGAAAGAGGAGGACAACCTATTTTCCAAAGCAGCCGAGAGCAAGGGAAGAAGTAACGGGTGGAAGATCGTTAAAGAGAGATTCAACCTAGAATTAAAGAGAAACTTCCCAACAGTGAGAACAAATAAGCAGTGGAATGGCTGGCCTCCAGAAATTGTGGGTGCTGGAGGTTTTTAAGAAAAGACTGGACAGCCACTTTTCCAGAATGGTGTATAGGGCAGGGGTAGGCAACCTTGGCTCTTTTATGACTCGTGGACTTCAACTCCCAGAATTCCTGAGTCAGCCACGCTGAGAGGAAAGGGAGAGGTTTCCAAGCTGAGCCATGCTGGCTCAGGAATTCTGGGAGTTGAAGTCCACGAGTCATGAAGGGGCCAAAGTTTCCCCCATGCTGGCTCAGGAATTCTGGGAGTTGAAGTCCACGAGTCATAAAAGGGCCAAAGTTTCCCCTATGCTGGCTCAGGAATTCTGGGAGTTGAAGTCCACGAGTCATGAAGGGGCCATAGTTTCCCCATGCTGCCTCAGGAATTCTGGGAGTTGAAGTCCACGAGTCATAAAAGAGCCAAGGTTGCCTACCCCTGGTATAGGGTCTCCTGCTTGAGCAGGGGGTTGGACTAGAAGACCTTCAAGGTCCCTTCCACTCTGATATTCTGTATTCTACTCCATGAACCCGAGAATCCTTTCAGGATATATCGGTGGCCATTTTCTCACAAAAGCAGCAAAACTTTCCCAGAAGTGAACCACGAATAAAAGCTTCCTCTATCTTGAAATCGTCAAAAAGTTCAAGACTCTGTTGAAATGAAGAGGGCATTAAATTCTTGACGTGGTTTGCTGATGGAGAGATAACTGGAAGAGGATAGTTGCTCCTTTGGACTGAATCCCAACCAAACAAGGCACACCTTGTCAAAGCAAAAGGAACACAAACTCCTACAAGGCAGAGTTTGTCTGGTTCTCTTTTGCTTGGTCCAACTTATCCGTGTGAATAGGCATTATCCCCGGCCAAAATGTCACCCGATACCTCTAATTCTTCAATGGTCGTGTTCTCTTCGTGGACTTTAAGGTCGTTCTGTGCGTCATCCTCGCCTTGTTCCTGCCCACCGACGATCTCGTTCAGATATTGCTGATCAATCTTATCCAAAGCAGCCTTCAGGTCATTTCTCAATCCCTACAAAAAAAAAGGGGGGAAACTATTTAAGGAACATGTCAAATGAATTGAAAGAGCTGCACAAAATTCAGACTAGATCAGAGGTTGGCTCTTTTATGACTCGTGGACTTCAACTCCCAGAATTCCTGAGCCACCATGGCTAAGCATGGAAACCTCTCCCTTTCCCCTCAGTGTGGCTGGCTCAGGAATTCTTGGAGTTGAAGTCCACCAGTCATAAAAGAGCCAAAGTTGCCTACCCTTGCCCTATATCAGGGGTCCTCAACCTTGGCAACTTTAAGACTTGTGGACTTCAACTCCCAGAATTCCTGAGCCAGCATGGGGGAAACGTTGGCCCCTTCATGACTTGTGGACTTCAACTCCCAGAATTCCTGAGCCAGCATGGGGGAACTATGGCTCCTTCATGACTTGTGGACTTCAACTCCCAGAATTCCTGAGCCAGCATGGGGGAAACGTTGGCCCCTTCATGACTTGTGGACTTCAACTCCCAGAATTCCTGAGCCAGCATGGGGGANATGGCCCCTTCATGACTTGTGGACTTCAACTCCCAGAATTCCTGAGCCAGCATGGGGGAAACGTTGGCCCCTTCATGACTTGTGGACTTCAACTCCCAGAATTCCTGAGCCAGCATGGGGGAACTATGGCCCCTTCATGACTTGTGGACTTCAACTCCCAGAATTCCTGACCCAGCATGGCTCAGCTTGGAAACCTCTCCCTTTCCCCTCAGCGTAGCTGGCTCAGGAATTCTGGGAGTTGAAGTCCACCAGTCATGAAAGAGCCAAGGTTGCCTACCCCTGGACTAGATCGTCAAGCTGGTAATCTTTAGTTGTACAGAGGAAGTCCTCGACTTACAACAGTTCGTTTAGTGACTGTGCAAAGTTACAACGGCATTGAAAAAAGGGACTTATGACCGTTTTTCACAGTTACCACCGTTGTGGTCACGTGATCAAAATTCTGACGCTTGGCAATTGACTCATATTTATGACAGTCGCAGTGTCCCGAGGGGGGGGTCACGTGATCCCCTTTTGCGACCTTCTGACAAGCAAAGTCAGTGGGGGAAGCCTGATTCACTTAATGACCAGGTCACTAACTTATCAACCGCCGTGATTCACTCAGCAACCGTGGCAAGGCAGGTCGTAAAACAGGGCGGAACGTAGTAACAGAAATTTTGGGCTCAGCTGTGGTCGTAAGTTGAGGACTACCTGTCCTTGTAAGGAACTCAAGACAGGTCTTCACCTTCAGCCCAAAATCCTGGAGCTACCCAAGATCAGTGGCAGGATGGCATAAAATACGCAATATATAGGATCTGGCACATCACAATCTGCATAACCGCAGTGCTCCTGCATCTAAAGTCCCTCACGTAAATCTGATAGAAACACAAAATGGCTCCATGCCTAAACCTTTGTTGTGTCGAACCATAAGCCACAACTTAAAACATTCATTATCTTTTTAAAATCTCCTTGTAAACTGCAAAGCCAATACACAGAGCAAGGGATGAAAAGCAGGTACAATTTCATTACGCTTTTCTCTCAAATCCTCCACATGCTCATGATGACGCTGTGCAAATTCCAAATAAACAAGCCCAAACTGACTCTCTTATGAACTTGGTTCTTAAGACTTTGTACCAACCAATTCATAAGCAAGAGAAAAAGTGTGTTGTGTTTCACCAGGGAAGCAAAAAATATATTATAAATAAAATATCGTTTTGGTAATATACTGACAGATCCTTTAAAGCCAGGGAGAGAAGAAAGAAGTAGTTGCCTATAGGGCTCCCTGTATAAATTATTTCAGCATTTAATCTACCTTAATGAACAGGCTTACCTTGTTCACTTCCGGAGCCAGAATTTCTATTTTTCGCAATCGCTGAAAGGCATCATAATCTGTTTCCCCAAACAGCCTGAC